AAGGTCTCAGACTTGTGTTTCATCAAGTAGACATACCCATATCTACTCAAGTCATCAGTGAGAGTGAGAACATAACGATATCCTCCGCGAGCCTCAACGCTCATTGGACCGCACACATCGGCATGTATGATTTCCAACAAGTTGGTTGCTCGCTCCATTGTTCCGGAGAACGGGGTCTTGGTCATTTTGCCCATGAGGCATGGTTCGCATGTGTCAAATGATTCATAATCTAGAGACTCTAAAAGTCCATCAGCATGGAGCTTCTTCATGCGCTTGACACCAATGTGACCAAGGTGGCAGTGCCACAAGTATGTGGGACTATCGTTATCAACTTTACATCTTTTGGTATTCACGCTATGAATATGTGTAACATTACGTTCGAGATTCATTAAGAATAAACCATTGACCATCGGGGCATGACCATAAAACATATCTCTCATATAAATAGAACAACCATTATTCTCGGATTTAAATGAGTAGCCATCTCGTATTAAACAAGATCCAGATACAATGTTCATGCTCAAACTTGGTACTAAATAACAATTATTGAGGTTTAAAACTAATCCCGTAGGTAAATGTAGAGGTAGCGTGCCGACGGCGATCACATCGACCTTGGAACCATTCCCGACGCGCATCGTCACCTCGTCCTTCGCCAGTCTCCGCTTATTCCGCAGCTCCTGCTGTGAGTTACAAATGTGAGCAACGGCACCGGTATCAAATACCCAGGAGTTACTACGAGTACTGGTAAGGTACACATCAATTACATGTATATCAAATATACCTTTAGTGTTGCCGGCCTTCTTGTCTGCTAAGTATTTGGGGCAGTTCTGCTTCCAGTGACCCTTCCCTTTGCAATAAAAGCACTCAGTTTCAGGCTTGGGTCCATTCTTTGACTTCTTCCCGGCAACTGGCTTACCGGGCGTGGCAACATCTTTGCCGTCCTTCTTGAAGTTCTTCTTACCCTTGCCCTTCTTGAACTTAGTGGTCTTATTGACCATCAACACTTGATGTTCTTTCTTGATTTCAACCTCTGCTGACTTCAGCATTGAAAATACTTCAGGAATGGTCTTCACCATCCCCTGCATATTGTAGTTCATCACAAAGCTCTTGTAGCTTGGTGGGAGCGACTGAAGGATTCTGTCAATGACCGCCTCATCCGGGAGGTTAATGTCCAGCTGGGACAGACGGTTGTGCAACCCAGACATTTTGAGTATATGCTCACTGACAGAACTATTTTCCTCCATCTTACAACTATAGAACTTGTCGGAGACTTCATATCTCTCGACCCGGGTATGAGCTTGGAAAACTAGTTTCAGCTCCTCGAACATCTCATATGCTCCGTGTTGCTCAAAACGCTTTTGGAGCCCCGGTTCTAAGCTGTAAAGCATGCCGCACTGAACAAGGGAGTAATCATCAGCACGAGACTGCCAAGCATTCATAATGTCTTGGTTCTCTGGGACGGGAGCGTCACCTAGCGGTCCTTCTAGGACATATTGTTTCCTGGCAGCTATGAGGATGATCCTCAGGTTCCGGACCCAGTCCGTATAGTTGCTGCCATCATCTTTCAGCTTCGTTTTCTCTAGGAACGCGTTGAAGTTCATGTTGACATGAGCGGCGGCCATTTTATCTACAAGACATATTTGCAAAGGTTTTAGACTAAGTTCATGATAATTAAGTTCATCTTATCAAATTATTATAATTAACTCCCACTCAGATTAGACATCCCTCTAGTCATCTAAGTGTTACACAATCCGAGTTGACTAGGCCGTGTCCGATCATCACGTGAGACGGACTAGTCATCGTCGGTGAACATCTCCATGTTGATCGTATCTTCCATACGACTCGTGTTCGACCTTTCGGTCTCTGTGTTCCGAGGCCATGTCTGTACATGCTAGGCTCATCAAGTTAACCCTAAGTGTTCTGCATGTGTAAATCTGTCTTACACCCATTGTATGTGAACGTAAGGATCTATCACACCCGATCATCACGTGGTGCTTAGAAACGACGAACTTTAGCAACGGTGCACAGTTAGGGGGAACACTTTCTTGAAATTATTATAAGGGATCATCTTATTTACTACCGCCGTTCTAAGTAAACAAGATGCATAAAACATAATAAACATCACATGCAATTATATAGTAGTGACATGATATGGCCAATATCATATAGCTCCTTCGATCTCCATCTTCGGGGCTCCATGATCATCTTCGTCACCGGCATGACACCATGATCTCCATCATCATGATCTCCATCATTGTGTCTTCATGAAGTTGTCATGCCAACGACTACTTCTACTTCTATGGCTAACGCGTTTAGCAATAAAGTAAAGTATTTTACATGGCGTTCTTCAATGACACGCAGGTCATAAAAAAAATAAAGACAACTCATATGGCTCCTGCCGGTTGTCATACTCATCGACATGCAAGTCGTGATTCCTATTACAAGAACATGATTTCATACATCACAATATATCATTCATCATTCATCAGAACTTCTGGCCATATCACATCACATGACAATTGCTGCAAAAACAAGTTAGACGTCCTCTAATTGTTGTTGCATCTTTTACGTGGCTGCAATTGGGTTCTAGCAAGAACGCTTTCTTACCTACGAATAACCACAACGTGATTTTGTCAACTTCTATTTATCCTTCATAAGGACCCTTTTCATCGAATCCGCTTCAACTAAAGTGGGAGAGACAGACACCCGCCAGCCACCTTATGCAACTAGTGCATGTCATTCGGTGGAACCGGTCTCACGTAAGCGTACGTGTAAGGTTGGTCCAGGCCGCTTCATCCCACCATACCGCTGAAGCAAGATAAGACTAGTAGCGGCAAGCAAGTTGACAAGATCTACGCCCACAACAAAATTGTGTTCTACTCGTGCAATAGAGAACTACGCATAGACCTAGCTCTGATACCACTGTTGGGGAACGTTGCAGAAAATTAAAATTTTTCTACGGTTTCACCAAGATCCATCTATGAGTTCATCTAAGCAACGAGTCAAGGGAGTGAGTTTGCATCTACATACCACTTGTAGATCGCGTGCGGAAGCGTTTGAGGGAACGGTGATGATGGAGTCGTACTCGACGTGATTCAGATCACCGATGACCAAGTGCCGAACGGACATCACCTCCGCGTTCAACACACGTACGGAACGGACGACGTCTCCTCCGTCTTGATCCATCAAGGAGGAAGGAGAGGTTGAGGAAAACAGCTCCAACGGCAGCACGACGGCGTGGTGTTGGTGGAGAAGCAGCACTCCGGCAGGGCTTCGCCAAGCTCGTGACGGAGGAGGAGAGGTGTTGGGGAGGGGAGGGGCTGCGCCTTGGGTTGTGTGTTGCAGCCCTCCCCTCACTCCTCTATTTATAGGGGAAGGGGCAAGGGGGGGCGGCCCCTCTAGATGGGATCTAGAGGGGGGGCGGCGGCCAGGGAGGGGGGACTTGCCCCCAAGCAAAGGGGGCGCCCCCTCTAGGGTTCCCCCCCAACCCTAGGCGCATGGGCTCAAGGGGGGGCGCCCAGCCCTCCAGGGGCTGGTTCCCTGCCCCTTGCGGCCCATGTGGCCCTCCGAGAGGGGTGGCCCCTCCCGGTGGACCCCCGGAACCTCTCCGGTGGCCCCGGTACAATACCGATATGCCCCCGAAACTTCCCGGTGTCCGCATGACAACTTCCCATATATAAATCTTCACCTCCGGACCATTCCGGAACTCCTCGTGACGTCGGGGATCTCATCCGGGACTCCGAACAACTTTCGCTAATCACATACAAGTCTTCCTAATAACCCTAGTGTCACCGAACTTTAAGTGTGTAGACCCTACGGGTTCGGGAGACACGCAGACATGACCGAGACGGCTCTCTGGTCAATAACCAATAGCGGGATCTGGATACCCATGTTGGCTCCCACATGCTCCTCGATGATGTCATCGGATGAACCACGATGTCGAGGATTCAAGCAACCCCGTATTCTATTCCCTTTGTCAATCGGTACGTTACAAGCCCGAGACTCGATCGTCGGTATCCCAATACCTCGTTCAGTCTCGTTACCGGCAAGTCACTTTACTTGTACCGTAATGCATGATCCCGTGACCATACACTTGGTCAGTTTGAGCTCATTATGATGATGCATTACCGAGTGGGCCCAGAGATACCTCTCCGTCATACGGAGTGATAAATCTCAGTCTCGATCCGAGTCAACCCAACAAACACTTTCGGAGATACCTGTAGTGCACCTTTATAGTCACCCAGTTACGTTGTGACATTTGGTACACCCAAAGCACTCTTACGGTATCCGGAAGTTACACGATCTCATGGTCTAAGGAAGAGATACTTGACATTGAAAAAGTTCTAGCAAAACGAACTACACGATCTTGTGCTATGCTTAGGATTGGGTCTTGTCCATCACGTCATTCTCCTAATGACGTGATCCCGTTGTCAATGACATCTAATGTCCATAGTCAGGAAACCATGACTATCTGTTGACCAACAAGCTAGTCAACTAGAGGCTTACTAGGGACGTATTGTGGTCTATGTATTCACACGTGTATTACGATTTCCGGATAATACAATTATAGCATGAATAAAAGATAATTATTATGAACAAGGAAATATAATAATAATGCTTTTATTATTGCCTCTAGGGCATATTTCCAACAAGTGGCATCTCCAAGCTATATGCTTTACGCCAATCTTTCTCTCTAGCTTGTAGTATATGCATTGTGAGCTGTTCCTTGGGGCCCCTGTATCTTTGGTGTTTGTTTTCTTTGCTTTAGTTGGTGAGTGGTGATATTTGGAGTTGTAATCCTGGCCGGTTGATGGCTTTGTTAATTCAAAGCCGGGCTCTTCTTCATCCTTCATTCTAAAAAAAACAATAGTAATTCTTTACAGAAAATCTGACACTTTATTTGTTCATAAAATCATCATACATAGCACAAAACGTTGTGTTGGAAAGTAGCACATGGATGCCAAATAACTTGGCTACTACGAGCTAAGTTAGGTAGCTACTTATACTTCATACACTGACTCGGGGACAAATGGCTTGGCACAGAGCCGGAGAGGCGACTTGCGGCGCAGACCGAGGCCACCCCCTTCCGTCATGTCCACCTTGGTGACGCCCTCAGGCAGGGACCAGTCGAAGTGGTAGCAGAGTTGAACAAGCGCCATTTGCAAGACGGGGAGCCCGTAGGAGATGCCGGGGCACATCCTCCGTCCGGCCCCGAACGGCAGAAACTCGTAGTTGCTCCCTGCGAAATCGACCGAGCTGTCCTCAAACCGCTCGGGCTTGAATTCTTCAGCGTCCTCCCAATACCTTGGATCTCTCCCAATAGCCCACGCATTTACGACAAGGCGCGAACCCGCGGGAATCAGGTATCCGTCAACCTCACAGGCCTCGACGCACTCCCGGTGCACCAGGAGTGGCGCTGGCGGGTGTAGCCGGAGGTTCTCCTTGATGAAAAGCTTCAGGTATGGGAGCTCGCTGGCCTCGATGTCGCCTTCACTGATGGTCGCCCTGCCATGGAACGGCTCCCGGATCTCGCGCTGCAGCTTGTCCATCACCCTCGGGTTCTGCATGAGCTCAGACATACCCCAATCCAGCGATGACGCCAACGTGCCAGTTCCAGCCACGAACATGTCAAGTATGACGCCCTTGATGCTGTTTGTGTTAAGGTGGAACCCGGTGCCACCTTTCTCTTGCAGACCGATGAGAACATCGACCAGGTTCTCGAAGTCCGAGGCCGACGATGCACCGGATTTGACCCTGTCCTCCCGGATGCCTTCCCTCTCTTCTATGACCCCCTCTAAGGTGGAGTCCAACGTCATGTGGACATCCTCCAAGGTGCGGTGCATGCCGGTCGCCTTGGCCAGCACGGACCGCCATGTAGGGAAGAGATCAGGGATTTTGAAACCGCCGGCCAGTGCGACCCCAGATTTGATCGCCGATAGGAACTCCTGGACGTTTCTATGCTTGTTCCCGAAGGATGCGCGGGAGACAATGCTGATCGTTAGGTTGAAGAAAGTCATGGTGACGTCCACCGGCGTAGATGGCCCTGCGGCATGAATGTTTTCTACATGGCTTCTCACCTGTACATGTACAACAGGTGAGTAAATAGCATAAAACTACTACTTTACAGGTTAGAGTTTCAAAAAACTATCGGTTTTTATTTTTTCTCAGATAACTACCAAATGGGTGGTCGGCTGTTTCAAAAAACCCCAAATGCATGATGTTTAAACATTAAACCTATTTATGACAGATCGGGTCCACCCCTAAACGAACCGTTTGTTTGACCAGTTGTTTGACCGTTAACTGACATCTGGGACCCACATGTCAGCCATGGAGCAAATAATCACAGAGATTTGTTAAAAAAGCCCCACCCGAACAGGTGAAGGACGAGGACC